ATATATATATATATCTATACATACTATATATATATGACAATTCTTCAGATTATTATTTTTATACGAATCTCAAATAAATACAGAAATTATAAAGTCGATAAAGTCAGATGAATTCTAAAATTTGATTCTGCAGTCTTTTTTATTCGAAAGGTTGATCACTCATGAAAAGAAAAGAAACAAAAAAAAAATTATATATATATATATATCATTCATGAAGAATGAATGAATGAATGAATGAACATCACGTCGTAAGGCTGTGTAATAGTTTGCAAGTCATGGAGGATTGCTCGCGTGAATGTATCCTGGACAAGTATTCTGGACAGAGAGGCACAAGAGAGCAGTTGCAAGAGAGAAATGATGCCTCTCTCAAACGGCAACCATTTTATCCAGGCTCGTGGTCACACAGAACGCGGATGATTCGCCGGGTGTGACGCTTAGTTAACTCGACGTGCGCGATTGTTTGACGCTTGATTAAATACAACGAATGCATTACCATTGTTACCACTGGCTTTCACCAATTCTCGCAACACGCCGAAAGATCTACACTCCACCGATAGCAGCGACGAGGGGGAGTGAGGAAGGGAGGGAGGGAGGGAGGAGGGAAGTTTTCGTTTTTCACTTTTTTATAAATATGCATTCGCTGATCGTACGTTGATTGCACGAGGCTTTTTCCCTCCCCAGCGGAGCTGCGAAATTACACGACAGAGCATCCAAAAAATGTGGAAATCTTTGAAAAAAAATTTCCTAACAGGTTTTATATCAATGTGATATCGTTGGGAAACTATGACGGGAGAATTTAATAACGTAATGAAAAGCTGAAATAAATAAAATATCTTAATTCTAATTAACAAATACCTCCACTTCGATTTTGATTGGTGAGTTCGTTCATTTCAAAGGGCGCGATTATTATGATCGCTTGGCGATCATTTTCTCTCGAATATTGTCAAAATCTGAGCATTGACTAGCCACGACTTGAAAGATTGAAATCTCCTCTTTACAACGATACCTCAGAGTTTGGCTGTTTGATTTCTTTGAACATTCTACTCAACTTCGAATATTAAGACTGAACGACGAAAGTTCGTTCAAAATTCAGTGGACGAAGAAACTCACGCAGCAGATTTTTATAGATCGTTGTGAAAAGGAGATTTCAATTTTCAATATCGTGACGGATCCAATTACGAACAAATCTTTTTTTTTTAATGCTTTTAGAGACGTTCGAATTTCTACAATCTCCGGGGCAAGTAGCGTCTTTACTTTCCCACCCGCTGAACGATGCAAAATCGCCTTTGGAGGAAGCAAACTCAAAGACTGCGAAAGTAAATGTTTTTAAAATTAGATCAAGCGGATTGTTATGTAATTTCTTCTTACAAAGTTGCAACAGTTTGAATTCCTATTAATCGACTTCTGCTGCTCACTGTACAGTTCATTGTACAGTAAATAATAAAATTATCATCATTCCGGACCATAATCACGTCCAAAATATAACGATGACACTTTGAGATTTCCATACTGATCACGAACGGCAAATGGCAAATTTTAAACTTTGCACATTCCCGGTGCAAAGGAAACTTCATGGCGAATAAATCGTGGCGAAAGTAATTGGATAGGAATCGTGAGAAATGAGGAAGAAAGAAACAAATAATAGGGTAAGTAAGCGGCAAAGGGGGGAAAGTCGAAGGAAAAATAGAGTATATCGAGGAATGATTAAGGTAGGGATTTCCTAGGAAACGCGAGAATCTACTCTCGGCCCCGAGGAAGGGAAAATTTTATTGGCTGTATATATTTCCACAGCCATGTCCTAATCACCCTGACTGAATGGCAACGACGACCTATAAATCAGTATTGGTCGCCGCTGGTTGTTTTATTAACGCTATACACACGTACATATCATGTTCGTTGCTCAAACAAATGTGTTAAACGATACTCCAAAATGCTGTAATTAATCCACCGCGTATTTTCATCTTAAAATATGAAACATATATATGGAGAAATGTATCGGCTCGATTACTTGCTGAATTATTTTCACTTGATTCTGTTAATATTGATTTCG